AACAAAAAACAGCCCATTTTTCATGAATCTGGGCCCGTTATTTGCTAAAAACAGGGCATGCATAGCCTTTAGGAAGCTTGTATAGTGCTCCTGGGGGCTGGGGGGGAGCAAAAAACGGTCCATTTTTTGTGAAAAATGGGCCTGTTTCTTGCTAAAACAGGGCATGGATAGGCTTTGGGAGGCTTGTAGAGTGTTCTTGGGAGCTGGGGGAGGCTTGTTTTTGTCCTCCCCAGCCCCCAGGAGCACTTTGCAGGCCTTCCAAATCCTCTATATGTCCATTTTTGTTAAGGGTTCCAGGAGGCCAAGAATGCTGTATTCAGTGTATAAGACGCACCCAGATTTTCACCCTCTTTTTTGCGGGGAAGGTGTGTCTTATACTCTTGAAAAATACGGTATTTGAAACAAGATCCAGTGGATATAAGTACACTAAAATTATATTGAAATTGAAGCGCACACACATATATACATGTATAGATTTTTAAATTGTTCTCTTCAGGTATTTCATCGGGACGCTCAGTAAGATTATTTACCATAGTTTCAAGGGTAGCTACAAAAAAAACCCTAGCTTTTATACTTCCCTTGTGTGCAAGCCTTCTCATCAGCCACCTGGAAGTACGATCTAAGGAAGAGTATGCGATTTTTATAACTTTGTTCCCTGTTACCAATTTACTGTATTTTGCTGAAACTAAGATTCCTCCCTGCTTCTCCAAACAAAGCAGCTGATGTGGGAATAGAGAAAAACACAACTCAGAAAGAAAGAAAGAAAAGCAGATACCACATTTAAGGAGGAGGGGAAAAAAACAACAATGAATTAAAATAAATTTACAGAAGGCTAGAGTTACAACAGAATTTAAGCTGCGGATTAAAACTAAGAAGGCAGGATAACAATTCCCCTATGACCTTTCTTCAGATGCCATTGTAAACAATACAGATTTAAGCTGATGCTTCCAGGGAACAGCCGAAGCCTGAGGATGGAGGTTGGGGGGCATTCTATAAGATGCTATATCCAGCTTTAGTAGAACTGTATCAGCATAATTGTCCCATCAAACTGGATTCCCAGCTTGCTGCTGTCATCAGGCATCTCCTTTTATCTCCTTGGAGTTCTTTATCCAATGAACAGCAACACTTCTGGACAAGAACTCAGCCACTATTTGCTTCTGATTCATGGCAAAGATCCCCTCTCAGATTTCCTTAGTCGGAATTTAATACAGAAGTTGATTAAGGATTAAAGACTGGCAGCTCAGTTCCCACCCATAATCATTCCTCATCCAGAAAATATGCCTAAATGTCTGGCATGAATAAATGGCTGAGAAGCAATGCTGGATCAAAACCCCAGGGAGATGGCAATGATGCTTTGGACTCACTAGCAATAGCAATAGCAGTTAGACTTATATACCGCTTCATAGGGCTTTCAGCCCTCTCTAAGCGGTTTACAGAGTCGGCATATTGCCCCCAACAACAATCCGGGTCCTCATTTTACCCACCTCGGAAGGATGGAAGGCTGAGTCAACCTTGAGCCGGTGAGATTTGAACAGCCGAACTGCAGAACTGCAGTCAGCTGAAGTAGCCTGCAGTGCTGCATTTAACCACTGCGCCACCTCAGCTGTCACTGAGGACTTGAAGCCTGAAGAGCCACATCAAGGGGCACAACATCCTACACTTCTTCCGGGTCAAGAAGATTCTGCTGCTAGTAACTACCAATACCTGCCTTGCTTGTAATAGCAAGTGACCAGGAAGAATGGCAGGATGTTGTTCCTCTTCCACTAGATGAGGAAGGCTTCATAGAGGATAAGGTAGTCCAAAAATAGAGACAGGAGGAGGAGGAAAATTAAGTACTAGAAAGTGATAGAATAATAAATTCCAGATGAAGTGGGTTGTAGTCCACTAAAGGTATCCAGCAATAAATTTTATTCTTCAAAGTTCAACAAACAATGCCAATTTGTATAATAGGCAAAAACAGTCACTCTGCTAGAATACAGTTTAATATGGAAAGTCAACCAATTCAGCTGTCTGTGTGTAAATCCTTACACAGTCAAAAGAACACACACAAAAGCAATGAAACAGAAGATTTGGGGGGAACTTTTAACAAGCTACCTGTATTTAAGAACTTAGCAGGTTCAGTAACCATGGAGTACTGGTTCTGGAGAAGATAGCATTTAGCCAGCATTCTTGCTGATTTCAGAGGCTAAATTGGGTCAGCCCTGGTTAGTAATTGGATGGTGTGGGGGTCAGGACTTGGCGTGGCATGACATAACCGCGAATGTCAAAAGCGCACCGACAACAGCGCGCCGACAGAAGCATGATTTAACTTAAGGTAAAGTTTAGGTTTAGGTTTAGGGTTAGGTTTAGGGTAGGTTCAGCGTTAGGTTTAGGGTTATTTTTAGGGTTATGTTACAGCGCGCTTCTGTTGGTGCGCTGTTTTTGGCGCGCTGTTGTCGCGCGGTTTTGACGGTGCGGTTTTGTCACCGCGCTTTAGTCTACCACAGTTTTGTGGTGGAATCGGACTTGGAGGTAAAGAAAGTAAAGACAACTAAGGCAAACAACTTCTACACTTGCCAAATAAGCTACAAAATGTGCCCAGGCAATCATTTGGTATTTGGTCTTCATCAGAAGGAAATTTTACTTTTGCTGGAAGTACAAAAAAATTAAATGAAGAATGTCAGGGAAAAGGCATGCTGTGTTGGCATTTCAACCAACCATGCCCTTTTCCCAAGATTCTTAGATTTCTAAGACCAGAACACTCTTAAGTTACAGTAGTCAATTGCAAGTCTTTATTTGGAGAACTGGAAGTTTTGGAGCATTATTCTCTCCAATAAAATTCTGCAAGAAAGACATTCATTTACAGTTCTCCAAGGCATATTTCTGCACAAACAGCAATTTTAAGTATGTCTTTAAAGTGCCACAAATAAGACTGTAAGAGCCAGTAGCTCGGAAACAATATAATGTAAAAACACCCTTTAAACCTATGGCTCACAGCAATCTTCCTGAAGGTTGATTAGAAATATGGCGTGGGGAAGCAGTACCATTCTATAAAAGCTCCTTATAAAAGGAATCTTTAAATTTCTGTGGACATATGTGCCTGACATATCTAACCCTTTATCCAAGATGTTTCCGCTTCTGAGTAAATAAATATGTAATTGTTAATTCAGACACCTTTTTTTTCTGAAACGGTTTTATCTGAAGTTGCCTTCTTCTGAGAAATAGTTTTGGGGAAGTTTTAATCTGGGGCTGCTTTTTAAAACCAGGATCTGCAACATAACATCTTGAGATCAATAGTATCAAAATAGTATCAAAATAATCTATGACAATTGACTGAGATGAACAGAAAATTTTAGAAAATGACATGACAGATAAGTTGGTATCAGGAACAGGATAAACCACACAGAGGACTCATTTTAGCCTTCAGTATAGGCAAAGAATTACAAGCTATCTCACCCATCACAAACACACAAGCATATGCATGATGACAACTTTTTATTTATAACAGACTACTGCCATTTCTTTTATTCACTGTTAAGGGGAAATCTATCACAGACTGAATAACATATGCTAACGTTTCAATATGTGATCTTATGGGGTAGACATTGGCAAATTGAGATACTGCAATCTTAGGACAACACATTGTTTACATTATAATTTAACCTGGCCAATTAATCAATGTGCCACATAACTTTGTAAATGAATAACAAATATCACTGCAACAAGAGATACAGTATATTTTATTTGTCTTTAAATGCTCCTTATGCCCACTTCCCAGAAAACGTCTTCTTAAAAAAAAATGGGGAGGCGGTGTTAAAACTGAAAGTCAGTGATTGTTCCCAGCTGCTCCCAGAGGCATTCGGGTTAAGAATAATATCCTTTAATCGCAGTAGCTTTAGTTGTTTAAAAAAACTATTAGGCTTTTAATAAACAATATCTCTGACTTTAAAAGATTTTATTTGTAGTCTCGTGTCGCTCTTTTGATCACCCGTTATCACCAAGCAACAGAGCCTTATTTGAAGGGGATGGAGGGAACAGAAGCCTGCAAAAGGTGCGCATAATCGAGCGTGGGAGCTCCTAAAGCAGATGGCGCCTCCTTCCTTTTCCCAAACAAGCCCCACGGACGTGTGAAACATCCCCCCCGAGAGAAGATGAAGCTACTTCTTGACTCACAATGATTTTGTGAGACCAACTCCAAAAACCCTCCACTCCCTCGCTTCGGGAAGAATAAAAGCTTTCAATCCCTTCTTTCCGACCCCGTTTCTCTCTGCAGATACATTCGGCTGACAAGCCGGGCTGTGCTGATGCTAACCTTGGGAGAGGTTCGTGTCTATGGAGCTGCTCAGTCATCCAGATCACGGTTGTCCCAAAGTTGCTTTTTTTCCCCCCAAGAGGCGACTGGACTTTCTGGTTTTCCTTCGAAGACGTTTCGCTTCTCATCCAAGAAGCTTCTGAGAAGCGAAACGTCTTCGAAGAAAAATCAGAAAGTCCAGTCGCCTCTTGGGGAAAAAAAAGAGCACTCTTGGAGACTTGGAGAGGTTCGGTTTTATTCCTGCGTTCAACTTCTTGTGGGAACGAAGTTGGGAAGGCTCCTTTGCGCTTTACCTGTGGAGCAGGTGCTGGTCGGGCTGGGAGAGGGGAAATACCAAGCGAGGTCGCTCACGAGGTTTGAGAAGCGCTCCTAAGCAGCAGCAGCAGGACCCCTCGCCTCCCCCCCACCCCAAAAAAAGAAAAATCTGGGCTGCCAAAGGAACCGCGGCTGTTTGTTTGTTTAGTCCGCTAAGCCTCCGCCCTCTGTGCCTAGGCGCTGCCTGGAGGGCGCTTGACCGTCGCCCCCGTCCCAGAGCACACCCTCCCCCGTGCTGCCCCCTCTTCGGACACCAGCCGGCGTTACCTGCCCTCGCCCGGGGAAGTTCTCGCAACAGGAGGGCCAGGAAGCAGACCAGGTGGCCCCTCAGTCCCGCGGGGCTCGCCGCCATCCTCAATCCGCGCCTGGGCTTTGCCTCTCTCTCTTGCGCTCTCTCTCTCTCCCTCAAAATCTAGCGGGGGGGGGAGGGCAGGCAGCGCGAGCCGACAGAGCCGCCTGGCCCCGCCCTGCTCCTCCCCCCCCCTCCCCTCCTCGCACGCTCAGGCAAGTCGCTCAGGCAGCCCCGGGCAAGCGGTGAAGAGGCTTCCCGGAACGGGAACGGGCCCCGCCGATCCCCCCCCCCTCCCCAGTGCCTGGACTGGGGCGAACTTGTGACGAGGGAGAAGCGGGCCTGTTCTGGAAGTCCGGGTTCCGACTTTTCCCGGATCCGATACCCCCACGGTAGCATGCAGGCCCCGCACGCAGTCCAGGGTCAAGGTCCCGCACGCGCGCTGGGCCGGCTTAACTTCTATGGTGCGACTCTGGCGGCGGAAGGGATACTCCGCTCAACAGAGTNTCTTCTTTGTGGCAACCCCTGAGATATTGGAACACTGCTATCATGTCTCCCCTAGTCCTTCTTTTCATTACACTAGACATAATACCCAGTTCCTGCAACTGTTCTTCACATGCTTTAGTCTCCAGTCCCCTAATCATCTTTGTTGCCCTTCTCTGCACTCTCTCCAGAGTCTCCACATCTTTCTTACATCGTGGTGACCAAAACTGAATGCAGTATTCCAAGTGTGGCCTTACCAGGGCATTATAAAGTGGTATTAACACCAGCGGGTGAGGGATTGCCCCATTCTGATTAGGACCAAGCTATCCAAAACTTTAATGACATGATAGTCATTCTTCATCTCCCACTGCCTCTTCCCACCCAGACAATTATTACAGGATGAGATCCCCACTTTTAGCAAGCATAATGGGGAAGTTCATGTATTAAAACAGGGATGGAGAGACAGAAGAGGCTGATTTGTTATAATGATTTGCAGGCTCGGCTGATCTGAACAACAAAGAACCTGGTCCTTCCTTCTAAATCTAATTGTTGAAATGAAAAAGCTCAACATAAAATAGAAGCAATACATGTCAAGCAAAGACAATCTGGTCCACAAGGAAAATATATGTATTTTCTTCTCAATAAGGAATATATTCCTTGTTTATTCGCAGCTGAAAATCAAACAACATGGCAAAATGTTTGAAAAATAAGAAACAACATAAGAGACAGTTCTTGAGTAGCATGATGGAAAGAAACTATATAAAGGAGAATTTAAGTTTTCCGGAGTTTTTCATCAAGATATGTGATGCAGAAAACAGGATATAAATGAATCTATAAGTATTACAATAACATTTGATTTTCAGCTCCAGAGCTGAAAAACAATTCCTGGGCTGAATACATGCTCAGAGGCAGTTTGTCCCTTAATCCTGTTTTCTTCTGGAACCATTGTTTTGCGCCTGGTCCAGGATTGGATAATTTTGGATTAAAGAAAGGAACAGCTGGCAAGGTACAATCCTTTTAAATCCTGAGAGAAAGGGAAAGCAATACATTAGAGAATGACAGCGACCAGGGATCCTGAGTTGGCATCTCTCCCTATTTCATTTGTTTTCAAATCAAACTATTTTTATTGTTGACATTGCTTTGCTAGCTTCCCTGAAAACCACTCCTGCCAGGAATGTCCCATTGTGAATGGGTGTGTGCATAGACAGTAGGCAATAAAAAAAAACTTTGGAAGAGCTGAAGCAGCAATGGGAAGAAGAGGTTAAAATGTGCACATTTCTTTGATTGCATTTTTGTAGTTCCCTGATCACAAGATTTTAATGAAGAGACTGAATATCCAAAACAGTCCAGGCTTGTCAGAGTTCATGGAAGTTGTAGATTATCTACCCCTCGCTAGCATTTTATTGTCAATGCTTCTGAGTTACTAACATAGGCCAACCAGACAAGATGTTTTTTTTAAAAAAAAAGAAATAACATAAGAGAGAATCCTTAAGTAGCATCATGGAAAGAAGCACCCATAACAGGAGGCATTCATTCTTGAAGGCCATTGTAACAATACAGCATATTTTTTTTCAATCTTATTTGATACTTAGTGTATTTTTTTGAGTATAAGATGCACTGGAGTATAAGTCGCACCAAGATTTTGAAGAGGTAATTTTTTTAAAAAAGGTTTTTGCACTCTGCATGCCTCCCAAACCCTCTGCATACCTCATTTTTTGTGAAAAACGGGACATGCAGTGTTT